TTCTCAAGGTTGGGAAGTTCAAGATCGAGGGACTGCGTCTGGTGAGGGAGTTCTTGCTGTGTCATCTCATGGCAGAAGGGTGCAAAGGCAAAAGGGCACAAGCACGTGAGACAGAGAGACAGACTGAAAGAGAGACAGAAAGAGGGTGCCAAACTCATCCTTTCATCAGGCTCTGCTGTGATAACTAACCCACTCAGCAATAATGGCATTAATCCATTCATGAGAGCACAGCCCTCATGACCGAATCACCTCTTAAAGGTCCTACCTCTCAACATTGTTGCACTAGGGATTAAGTGTCCGATACATCCTTTTTGGGAGACACATCCAAACCACAGCAGGAGGGATGGATTCTTTGCACAAATCACTCCCTACAATATAAGCTATTCATAACCCATTGTGAATCATTTTATATATTCATTAAAGCATGCCTTCTATGGCTGGCTCCCAGGCAACCAATGTGATGGGGAGAGGATAGAAGGTACCAGAGTAACAGATCTCTAAAGGTCGCAAGCAAAATGTAGACTTTTCAAATAAATTCTGCCAGGTGCAGTGGCTCATGCCTGTAATTCCAGCACTTTGGGAGGCCAAGGCGGGAGGACTGCCAGAGCCCACAAGTTTGAGACCAGCCTGGGAAACATAATGAGACCCCATTGCCACCAAAAAAAAAAAAAAAAAAAAAAGCCAGGCATGGTGGCTGTGCCTGTGGTTCCAGGTACCTGGGAAGCTGAAGTGGGAGGATTGCTTGAGCCTGGTAAGTCAAAGCTGCAGTGAGTTGTGATTGTGCCACTGCACTCCAGCCTGGGGTGACAGAGAGAGGCTGTCTCTGTCTCAAAAGAAAAAAAAAGGGAAGAAAATACATTCCAACTGTTTATCAAGTAGTTAGAGATATTGAGGCTTGAAGAGGGAAGCAATATTGAGGCAGTGCCTTGTTCATTGAATCTAAGATGCTGTCAAGCGTAAGATGTACTGTACTTTGGAAAGAAAAAACTGGCAGGGTGTGGTGGCTCACACCTGTAATCCCACACTTTGGGAGGCTGAGGCAAGCAGATTGCTTGAGCCCAGAAGTTCAAGACCAGCCTGGGCAACATGGCAAAACCCCGTCTCTTCAAAACAAACAAAAACCCAAAATTACAAAAATTAGCTGGGCGTGGTGGTGCATACCTGTGGTCCCAGCAACTCTGGAGGCTGAGGAGGGAGGATCACTTGAGCCTGGGAGGCAGAGGTTGCAGTAAGCCAAGATCAGGCCACTGCACTCCAGTGAACCAAGATCAGGCCACTGCACTCCAGCCTGGGCAACAGAGCAAGACCCTGTCTCAAAAGAAAAAACAAAACAAAACCAAAACCACTGCCAACTAAATTATGACACATAAACTGTAAAATGCATACTAATTTTTAAAATTATGATGTGGGGAAAATGTGAGGATGTTAAAATGTGGGGAAAGTACCATCTTGGATCAATCAACTACAGCATTCCCTCAGTCTGCTTGCTCCCACCTGCCTGTGTCAGGGCGTGACGGGATTCTACTCACAGTGCCTGTGGCTCCTTAACTGCTACACGGGGGACACCAACCCTCCTCCCAGCTCACTTCATTGTGAAGTCATTTAGATGTCCTTACTTGGCAGTAGAGTGGATCTGTACTCCAAGTTCCCGTCAGAGTATAATCCCCATTTCTCTCCCATTCGATACTCGGCAAAAACTCAATGGAGAGAAATCATGCTTGCAGTACTGCCGGCAGGATTGGCAGCCCATCCATTTTGTTCTACTCTGTTTACCCTTGGATTGAGCCAGATCAGCAGAGAGCAAAGCCCTGGAACCATGCTGGGTAATCCCTCATGGGAAGGCCCGCGCAGACGCTCCTGCTGGTGCACTGTCCGCCCACGCCAGGGAGGCCGTTAAAAGCAGCCCGAGGTGTCCTGAATTTGCTGTCAAGGGCACAGCAGTGGGTCTTCATGAGGACCGCTGGAGACATTTTTCACGTCTTCATACCAGAAATTAAAAAAAATAAACTTTAAGAAATGGAGGATATGATCACTATGCGTTACATACAGGCAGCAAATTTTCTCATGTATCCCATAAATGTGAACAAATTAAATAACTATGAAGGTGTTTTTCTTAATGCAGTTGTTATAATCATAAAAATCTGTGCATGGATGATGTATTAGTTCACTGTCACATTGCTACAAATGACTACCTGCGACTGGGTAATTTATAAACAAATAACTACCTGAGACTGGGTAATTTATAAGAAAAGAGGTTTGTTTTAATTGGCTTAGGGTTCTGCAGGCTGTATAGGAGGCATGGCTGGGGGAAGCCTCAGGAAACTTACAATCATGGCAGAAGGCAAGGTGAAGCCGGTACTTCCTACATGGCCTGAGCAAAAGAGAGTGTGAAGGGGACGGTGCTACACACTTTACAACATATCTCGTGAGAGCTCTATCATGGGACAGCACTGGGAGATGGTGCTAAACCATGAGAAACCACCCTCATGATCTAATCGCCTCCCACCAGGCCCCTCCTCCAACAATGGGAATTACAATTCAACATGGGATCTGGGTGGTGACACAGAATCGTGTCAGATGATGTAAAATTCACTTCCTCATAAAGGTTTCTGACTATGGTTAAAACACATCAGCCTGAGTTCAGCCCATGGGGAAGGAAAAAATAACTACTGATAATGAACCAGAAAATCTGACTGAATAAATTACCAAATGATATTATGAACAAAAATAAAGTACACCCTGAGCAACATAGTGAGACCTTGTTTCTATCAAAAATTTAAATTAGCTGGGCTTGGTGGCACATGCCTGTAGTTCCAGCTGCTTGAGAGGTTGAGGTGGGAGGTTCGCTTGAGCCTGAGAGGTTGAGACTGCAGTGAGCCATGATGTCACCACTGCACTCCAGTGATAGAGCAAGACCCTGTCTCAATATAAATAAAAAAGTATAACATATATACAGAAAAGTACACAATTTATAAATGTAGAGCCAAATGAATTATCACAAATTATAATTACCCCAAATGAAAAAAAAAGGACATTACCAGAAGCCCCTATGACTTCTCCCAGCACTGTACCCATTTTGTCCCCAAAGGCAATTTCCATCCTGATTTCTTGATTTTTCATTTTTTTTATTTTTGGTTTTATAGAGACAAGGTCTCACTATATTGCCCAGGCTGGCCTCGAATTCCTGGACTCAAACAATCCTCCCTCTTCACCCTCCCAAAGTGCTGGGATTACAAGTGTGAGCTATTGTGCCTGGCCATCCTCATTTCTAACACCATCGATTCGTTTTATGTGTTTTTAAATTTTACATCAATAGAATCACAGAATATGTATTCTTTTGGTGGCTCCTTTTGCTCCTCATTATGTCTGCAAAATTTCTCCAGGTTATTATGAGTAGCAGAAGGTTGTTCTTCGAGACAGGGTCTTGCTCAGTCGCCCCAGCTGGAGTGCAGTGGAGTAATCACGGCTCACTGCAGCCTTGACTTCCCAGGTTCAGGCAATCCTCCCCACTCAACCTCCTGAGTAGCTGGGACAACCGCCTGAGTAGCCACCAAACCTAGCAAATTTTTTTCATTTGTGGAGTGAGGGTCTCACTATGTTGCTCAAGGTTAGTCTTGAACTCCTGGGCTCAAGTGATCCTCCCGCCTTGGCCTCCCAAAGCACTGGGATTATAGGCGTGAACCATCATGCCCAGCTGGTTGTTGAGCATGCTGTACAGTAATCCACTTATGTATATATAACTTACTCATTTAGATTGTTTCCAGTTTGGGATTATTACGAATAATGCTGCCATTTTGGTGTATATATTAAGCATTTCTGTGAGGTACATACCTAGGAGTCAAATTGCTGGGTTATAGGATATAGATGGTTGGCTAAGCTCTGGGGATGACTACGGGATGACCACAGAATGGACCACCCCCAAGGGCAGCACTACCAATGAGGCCACCACTGGGGCTACTCAGCCCACAGACCCTTTATTCCTGCTGCTCCAGCCTTGACTGCCTCTTGACACCCAGGGAGTTGGACACTTTGTATACTAATGCCAAACTCTCACATTTCCATGACCTTACTTGTCTGCACAAAACGGAAAAGAGGGAGAGACAGTGGGGGTGGTGGGGAGAGAGAGGGAGGGAAGAAGACAAGAGAGAGAGAGACAGAGAAAGAGAGAGAGAGAGAGAAAGGAAACAGTAGAAAGTGGCCTCTGTATTTTCACCCTCCAAATCTCTCAAGTACTTCTGAAAGGTAAAACCAATCTGGCATCTGGGACCAGGGCCTGCAGCCTCTGCAGGGTAGGAAGCCAACCTAGAAGGAGAGTGGAACACAGACTGAGCTATCAGAGCTACAGCATCCGCCACAACATACCAAGGGCCTGGTCTATGTGCTGGGCAAGGCAGAGATCAGATCTGTGAGCTTAAGAGTCCAGTAAGAAAGGCAAGCGCTGAACAAGTTAATGTAAGTACCTGCTCCCCAGCCACCACAGAACTGCTAATTCATCTCCCAGACAAGTGTTTTCTGAAACACAATGTAATCACACATCCCTCTTGGTGCTGAGGGTAAGTGCCAAATTGGTGCTTTCCTTCTCTCAATTCTGTAGAAGGTTAGGGCATGCATTTTGCATATTTATGTCATGTTCATCTTATTATTTCTCACTCTCACTTTCCCTGTGTTCCTATTTCCTGATTTACTTTTCATTATAATGTATTACGTATTTCTGCAAGGCATCTTCAATCTTCCTCCTTGAAAAAGGACAGATATAAATCAATCCTCTATCTGCGTGGACCCCCAGTGCTTACCCATTTACTCAGGAGGAGTCAGCTCACTCACCAGCTCCTATCTTCATGTTTTGTTGGGTTCACAAATTTTAAATAGTATAAATATAAAAACAGAAGCTTTCAATTCATTTCTGGTTTCACATTGGTAATCAAAAAAGACTAGTGAGAAGATTAAAAGATGATGCAAGAACATGTCCTGTGGAATAAAAAATTAATATAACATTATAGTATTATACAATAATTGGTTTTACTAATGTGGATTAATACGAGCCATAAAATGCATAAACATTTTATTATTACAAATTCAAATCTGTTCTCTTTTCCCTATATCACCATTTAATTGAACAACAACACAACGAAAACTGGTCACCTTAAAACCAATTTGAAAAAGGTTGTTCAGGAACACCAATACAAAATCGAAGTGTAGACTGGAATGTGTCACATTTTGGCCAAACAAAAAGATTTGATTCATTTTGGCTCATAAAGTTAGATAATGGTGTTTATGGTTTTGAAAGTTCACTGAAACTTTTTCACTGAACTGGTTTCTTTCTGATGCATTTTCTTGAGTTCTACCCACGACTGCCACAGTAGCAGTCCTGGGATCAGAACCCACACACCGTTAAAAAAAAACAGGTAAACCCAACAGTAGAGCCAGTTGCTGGTGTTGAGGTTGGGGCTTCTGGTGAGCCACTCTGGGAGGAAGGTCATCCAGCAGCCATACAACTCGCACACGCACAGGGTGATCTGCAGGAAATGCCTGTTGGAGAGAAAGAAGCCCGGATGAACCACCAGCTTGGCACAGTTTGGCATCAGAGTCATGATATCTTGTCTGTAATGGCAGCATCAACAGTCTTTGCTATGAAAACCTCCCTAAGTTGGGCCTCAGGTGTTGGGTGGTGCTATTTTGATGCTAATTAATGAAGGCTCATTCTTTCCTTAGGGGAGCAACACTGCCCTTCTAGATTATTCTCAAAGTAAGGACCCTCAGGGATCCTGACCCATTCTTAGGGAAATTTAGTGAGATCACACTTGACTTAGCACAGAGAGGCCTGACTGTGAATCTCACCAAGAGCCATTATAAAAGGGAAGAGTGAGTAATAACCCCTTCCTCAAACAGTGTAGCGCAGACTAGATGAGATATGAGGATAAAGAGCCCAGCACTGGGCAAGTAAATGCTCAATAATGCAAATATTACAAATGTTTGAAATAATAAACACATGGGTACATGTAGTAAGTTTGCAACCATAGTCATGGAGTGAAAAATATATCAAGGTACCAAGGAAAAATTTAATTTTTATTGCCAACTATCTCTCTAAAACTGGGTGGGGAAGGAAGCTTTAAATAAGACTTCTTCATTACAAGATGGTGGAAAATTGAATGCAGCTGTGCCTACTTGACATCTCAGGATAGCAATCTATTCACCCCAGGCCACTTTGTCCCTAAGGAAAGAAAAGGAAGGGAGGAGAGTTTATAGTCTCTCAGAGTCTGATAGGATGGATACCTTTTTAATCTTTTTTTTTTTTTTTTTTTTGACACAGAGTCTCACTCTGTCACCCAGGTTGGGTGCGGTGGAACCAACATGGCTCACTGCAACCTCCACCTCCCAGGTTCAAGCAATTCTCCTGCCTCAGCCTCCTGAGTAGCTAGGGCTACAGGCGCCCACCACCATGCCTGGCTAGATAATTTTTGTATTTTGAGTAGAGATGGGGTTTCACCATGTTGGCCAGGCTGGTCTCGAACTTCTGATCTCGTGATCCGCCTGCCTCGGCCTCCCAAAGTGCTGGGATTATAGGCATGAGCCACTGCACCTGGCCTCTCTGCACTCTGCCCACCCCATACCCTTCACAATCTGCTTCTGAGAAGATTTCTTATTTATCTTGCAAGTCTGACTCCGAATTATGTAAGATAATTTACTTTTTGTCAAGTGGGACAGGAGTTTTCTTAAATGATTTTGGGGGAAAAAAGGATGGACATATTACCAATTTATTCTCTAAAGTATTGGTGGCAAATCATCCAAGAGTGTTAGCACCATTTTTGCCTCTACAGAGTCTAGGTTGTTATTAGAATAATATTTATCATATTTTTGATTCGGAAAAGTCTGAAATAATCCTAGTAGCACCATCACACTTATCTCACATCAAATAATTTTCATTTCTATTCTGGTTTTTTTTTGGAGACAGGGTCTTACTATGTCAACCAGGTTGGAGTGCAGTGGCGTGATCATGGCTTCCTGCAGCCTTGACCTCCCAGGTTCAGGTGATCCTCCCACCTCTGCCTCCTAAGTATCTGGGACTACAGGCATGTGCCACCATGCCTAATTTTTAAATTTTTTATTCCCAGTAGAGACAGGGTCTCACTGTGTTGCCTAGGCTGGTCTCAAACTCCTGAGATCAGGTGATCCTCCCACCTCAGCCTCTCAAAGTGCTGCGATTACAGGTGTAAGCCACCGTGCCAGGCCTCTATTCTTCTATCTTTTATCTAACAAATACATGTGGTCACAACCTACTCCAAAGGTCACCTAAGTGTTGGGACACATAATGTTTCCCCTCCTTCCAGCAGGACGGAAGAAGGGCACCTACCGGTAATGTTTTTCTTCGACTATGGCATAAATGAGGAACAATGCCAGAGACCCATCCAGCGTGACAGTCAGAATTTCCACAGACACAATGGTTGGATCGAAATAAACCCATCTTGCATCAGCTTTGCCATATTCTTTCCCTAAAGACAAAATCCACGTTGTTACTCAAATGGCAACAGTTTTTATGACAGTCCATGGAAATTACCTTTCTTTCCTTTAAGGTGGAGATAAAATAAGTTATCGCCACTCTCTCTGCGTTCTTCACGATGCCTTAGCGGAAGGCAGGAGAAGCCCTGGGACCAAAATGCATTCACCACCTGACACAAGCACTAAGAACAGCAGCCGGTTACAGGTGTCCAATCATTCAGTTTCCAGCATGCTTTCACATACGCGCCCTCCTCAGCCCCACCCTCTTCAATGTAAGTAGCAGAATTTTAAAAGAATTCAACATGGTCAGATTTTGCAAAGACAATCTCCAGTCATGATCTTGGTAAATACATTGTAATTCCTTACTTCAAAATTTCCATGTAAATTCTGTAAGTATAATGGAGATGTGGAAAATTTGCTATAAAGGACATGTTTATAAAAGACACGTTTATGGCCAGGTATGGTGGCTCACGCCTGTAATCCCAGCACTTTGGGAGGCCGAGGCGGGCAGATCACGAGGTCAGGAGATCGAGACCATCCTGACTAACACGGTGAAACCCCGTCTCTACTAAAAATACAAAAAATTAGCCGGGCGTGGTGGCGGGCACCTGTGGTCCCAGCTACTCCGGAGGCTGAGACAGGAGAATGGCATGAAACCAGGAGGCGGAGCTTGCAGTGAGCCAAGATCACGCCACTGCACTCCAGCCTGGGCAACAGAGCGAGACTCCGTCTCAAAACAAAACAAAACAAAACAAACCATGTTTGTTGGCCAGGCACGGTGGCTCACGCCTGTAATCCCAGCACTTTGGGAGGCCAAGGTGGGTGGATCACTTGAGGTCAGGAGTTTGGGACCAGCCCAGCCAACGTGGTGAAACCCTGTCTCCACTAAAAATACAAAATTTAGCTGGGCTTGGTGGCACATGCCAGTAATCTCAGCTACTTGGGAGGCTGAGGCAAGAGAATCACTAGAACCTGGGAGGCGGAGGTTGCAGTGAGCTGAGATTGCACCACTGCGCTCCAGCCTGGGCAACAAGAGCTAGACCCTGTCTCAAAACAACAACACGTTTATTAATAACAGAAGAGAAACTAGGTGCTGAAGGGACAGCGGGCAGCGGGGGGAGGAGAGAGCCCGGACTGCAGGATGAATCAGAGTGGGCAGAGGGGGTCTCCGCCCACAGGGATAGGGGACTCACAATGGCCCTCACACAGTCTCAGCTGTGCTGCTTGGGGAGCCAGTGTGCTCTTAGAGATCCATCCAGACCCATTATCAGAATGGTTTCTTCTTGGGATCACCATGACTCAGAGTCTTTTTAGGGCTGGAATGATGGCCAGGTATTGTAGAGGCCATTAAAAATTATTTAATTATTTTCTTAATGTGTAAAAGTAATACATGCTGGTCCTAAGACCTCAAATGACTACAGTGAAAAAAATGGAAGTGATGACCTTGTCTCCCCCTTTAATACTCGCATTATCCAGAAGAGGTGTGATGGCCACAGAGGAGCCCGTGATCTGCTACTGAGCAGCACACAGCTCTTGTCTCATAAAAGTCAGAGGAAGGATCCCTCGGGGCCTGGGACAAAGGTTTCTAACGAAAGGCTGTCCTAAGAGAAAGGACAGTAAGAGGATTAGCTATTTAATGGAATAACACACAAGGCACGTGCTGAGGGGCTGTTCTGTGAGAGGCCACTGAGAGTCAGCAACCTGTCCTTAGCCAACTGTCTGCAGTCTCCTGTGCCCTTCAATAACTAACTGGAAAACACTGTCATATTGAAACGTTTCTCCCCTAAATTTAAATATACATACAAAAGGTGAAATACACCAGTTAGTGCACTTAAAATCTAATAAAATATCACTTAAGTAAAATGTCAGTTCTTCAGGAATAAAAAGAGATATTGACCAAGTCTTTTTTTTTTTTGAAAAAGAGTCTCACTGTTGCCTAGCCAGGAGTGCAATGGCACGATCTCGGCTCGCTGCAACCTCCGCCTCCCAGGTTCAAGTGATCCTCCAGCCTCAGCCTCCCAAGTAGCTGGGACTACAGGAACCCACCACCACACCCAGCTAATATTGATTGACCGAGACAGATTCTCACTCTGTCACCCAGGCTAGAGTGCAATGGTCAGATCTCAGCTCGCTGCAACCTCCACCTCCTGCGTTCAAGTGATTCTCCTGCCTCAGCCTCCCAGTAGCTAGGATTACAGGCACGTGCCACCATGCCTGGCTAATTTTGTATTTTCAATAGAGATGGGGTTTCACCATGTTGGTCAGGCTGGTCTCAAACTCCCGACCTCAGGTGATCTACCTGCCTTGGCCTCCCAAAATGCTGGGATTACAGGCTTGAGCCACTGCACCTGGCCTAATTTTTGTATTTTTAGTAGAGACAGGGTTTCACAATGTTGGCCAGGCTGGTCTCAAACTCCTAACCTCAAGTGATCCATCTGTCTCGGCCTCCCAAAATGCTGGGATTACAAGCGTGGGCCACCGTGCCCAGCCTTCAACAAGTCTTTTTTTTAGCATTTGGAAGTGCTGTGGTAGGCCCCAAGAATGCAGCTGCAAGTAGGACCAAATGTCGGCCCTTAGTGGCCCACATTTTAGTGAGGCTGAAAACCAGGCAGTGGTGGCTAGAGAATACGATGGCAGGGAAGTAGCACTGAAGCCAGACTACGAACATCAGGGAAGACTTCCTGGAGGAGGTGTTTTGGTCACTGCCTCTCTTCCCTGTTGGTGAGGGATGGACTTCTGCCTGAGGGCCATGGTGATGGCTGAACACACAACACCCGACACTGGGCAGATGAGATGGTAGAGGTTTATTAGTCACATACACTCATGGCCTAGGGAAGGAGGACATCTTGCCATGCAGGGCCACATAGGGGTCGTACCTGGGAACAGTGATCGGGCAGGGGCCACAGAGGCAGGCTTTGCAGTAACAAGAGGAGGGGTTGGGTTGAGTCCTGGTTCCCGAGAAAGGATGTGATTGGCTTGTTTGGATAATTCTACGGGCAGACTGGTGGGAACTGAAGCCTGCTACTGAGGGGACAAGCAGGCACTGCGCCTGCTCCCCTTGACAGGGGGAGCTATCTGGTTAGGGAACCTTATATGTGGAAGCAGAGTGGAGAGGGAGACTTGCAGTTTGGTCATTTGAGGCCCCCCCTGGATCTCACCAGATATCGAAACAGACATAATACTGAATCCTGGCCAGGCAGGATGGCTCACACCTGTACTCCTGGCATTCTGAGAGGCCGAGGTGGGTGGATCACTTGAGGTCAGGAGTTTGAGACTGGCTTGGCTAACAAGGTGAAACCCTGTCTCTATTAAAATACAAAAACTAGCCGGGCATGGTGGTGCACATGTGTAGTTCTAGCTACTAGGGAGGCTGAGGCAGGAGAATCACTTGAACTGGGAGGCAGAGGTTGCAGTGAGCCGACATTGAGCCACTGTATTCCAGCGCTCCAGCCTGGGAGACAGAGCGAGACTCTGTTTAAAATAAGAAGAAGAAGAAGAAGAAGAAGAAGGAGAAGGAGAAGGAGAAGGAGGAGGAGGAGGCGGAGGCGGAGAAGGAGGAGGAGGGAGGCGGAGGCGGAGGCGGAGGGGAGGAGGGGAGGAAGGAGGAAGGGAGGAGGAGGAGGAGGAGGAGGAGGAGGGGAGGGGAGGAGGGGAGGGGGAGGGGGGGGGAGGGGAGGGGAGGGGAGGAGGGAGGGGAGGAGGGGAGGGGAGGGGGAAGGGGGAAGGAGGGAAGGAGGAAGAGGAAGGAAGGGAAGAGGAAGAGGGAAGAGAGAAGGAAGAAGAAGAAGAAGAAGAAGAAGAAGAAGAAGAAAGCAGACATAATACTGAATCCTAATTTCAGGCCTTATACCACAAGAGGTGACTCCAAATCTGAGTGAAAAATAAGGGTGTTTCAGGGAGGAGCATGTATAAAGGCCTTGAGCTGAGAATATAATGTGTCTGAATCTACAGACAGTTTAGCAGAGCTGCCGGTGGGGAAGGTTAATGCCTGAGAGGAAGGTAGGGGACAGACAGTAAGGGGCCCTGGAATCCACTAGTCCCTGTGCATCTCCCTGTGGCAGTCCCCCTGGTATCTCCTCTACTGCTAAACTTTGACCATCTCTTTGCTTATTAAACACTGAAACAATAAAAAGGCAAACAGGAGCATTAGAGAGGCTGATGATGTGATCATTTCCATTGATTCTGTGACTGATAATGGGGCTTAGGTGAGGTTTACAGGGAAAAGATGCAAACTAAGGATCAGGGTAGATTTCCTCAACCAGAGCCATTGTTGTGTCCTCAACCAGAGAGTGGAGACCAGGACACACTGAGTATTCATGACGTTTATGGCCGGCCCTGCATTCCAGTGAAGCCAAGGTCAGAACACAGGTCATCCTCAGAAGGTCCTGCTCTAGACACACAGTATCAGAATCTGCATTTGAGTAAGATGCCCAGGTGATTTGGGGTACTTTGGAGTCTGGGAACTACTACTTGCTTTACATTTTCTACTGGATTTTTGCTTTCATGAAAATAAAGGACACCTTCATTAAATGAGTTTTTACTGCGTTTTGATTTTTAGAAATAGGGTATCACCATGTTGCCTTGGCTAAACTCAAACTCCTGGGCTCAAATAATCCTCCTGCCTCAGCCTCCCAAGTAGCTAGGGCTCCAGGCTCGAGCCACTGCACCCAGCTAGTTTTCACTTCTTTAAGGTGCATATTGTAAACGTGAAGATGATGGAGAAAGCCTGTGTTAGACATTCACATTTCATGGGATTGAGCCAAATCTGGGCTGTTTGCTTTCTCTCATGTCAGGCAGGACAGCCAGAGGAGATGTCAGCACAGCATCTGGCAAAGAGGAGAAGAGGATGCTCAGCAGGAGGAGCCATGACTCAGGCTGGCGTTGTCAGCCTCTGGGCTTCACTAGCAATCCCCGAGCAAAGTTTAATGCAGCCGATCAAAAGTGCATAGCTGCATTCAGCTGGGCCCCTGGATCTGAAATGGCTCAACTCTGGTCAAGGGGACTCAGACTCCTTGGCTAGGACTTGAGGCATCAAAGATGACACCTTTTCCTCTGGGAAGTACTAATGAGCCTACTCAATTCTCTAGATGTTTCCTAACACTAGTGGTAAACAGGAGTCCCCCACACAGATCCTAGCTGGAAATGATTTCTGAGTCACGAAAAGAAATGAGATAAACAGGATGGGTGTGGTGTCTCACACCTGTAATCCCAGCACTTTGGGAGGCCGAGGCGGGCAGATCACAAGGTCAGGAGATTGAGACCGTCCTGGCTAACATGGTGAAACCCTGTCTCTACTGAAAACACAAAAAATTAGCCGGGCGTGGTGGCAGGCACCTGTAGTCCCAGCTACTCGGGAGGCTGAGACAGGAGAAAGATGGCATGAACCCGGGAGGTGGAGCTTGCAGTTAGCCAAGATCGTGCCACTGCACTTCAGCCTGGGCGACAGAGCGAGACTCCATTTCAAAAAAAAAAAAAAAGAAATGATGCAAAGTTTCAGAAGCAAAACCTGAAAGCAGTTATCCTGAGAAAGGCAGTTTTATAAAGTGGCAAAAAAAAAAAATAACTGTCGGTACTGACACAGTACATGGTAGGACATCGATGCTAATTGACTGACAATGAGCAAGAAGACTTTTGGAAAGGATCTATAAGACCACAAAAAAGTATGTACAATAAAAAGAAAGTTGATATTAAAAGTATGGGAAAAGCACCCAGTTTAAATGCTACAAGTTCTTCCATCTGCACTCACTATCAACATTTTTTTTTTTTTTGAAAGGGAGTCTTGCTCTATTGCCCAGGCTGGAGTGCAGAGGTGCGATCTTGGCTCACTGCAAGTTCCGCCTCCCGGGTTCACATCATTCTCCTGCCTTAGCCTCCCGAGTAGCTGGGACTACAGGTGCCCGCCACCATGCCTGGCTAATTTTTTGTATTTTTAGTAAAGATGGGGTTTCACTGTGTTAGCCAGGATGGTCTCCATCTCCTGACCTTGTGATCTGCCTGCCTCGGCCTCCTAAAGTGCTGGGTTTACAGGCGTGAGCCACCGCACCCAGCCACTCACTAGTAACATTTTTTATTTTATGTATTGTTTTTTAGAGATGGACTCTTCCTCTGTCATCTGGGCTGGAGTGCAGTGGTGCAACTGTGGCTCCATGCAACCTTGAACTCCTGGACTCAAAAGATTCTCCCGCCTCAGCCTCCTGAGTAGCTAGGACTACAGGTGTGCACCACCACACCTGGCTCATTTAAAAATCTTTTTTTAAAGATAGGGTCTTGCTGTGTTGCCCAGGCTCAAACAGTTTAACATACAGCTTTATTAAGATGTAATTCACATGCCACACAATCTACCTATTTAAAGAATTGGTTTTAGTATAATCACAGGTTTGAATCACCACAATCTAATTTTAGAACATTTCATTACCCCAAAAAGAAACCTGTGCCCATTAGCAGTCACTCCTCATTTCCCCCCAACACTCCCACCCCTACCCTCATTCCCAGGCAACCAGTAATCTACAATGTCTCTACAGATTCACCTCTTCTGGACATTTCATATAAATGAAATCATACAATATGTGATAGAGGCATTTATTTGACAGTCACACTTGCAATAAACCTCCTCCAACATTTCAAACGCAAACATTTTTAATTACTTACATAAAGAAGCAATCAAGCCATCGGAATTTGCAACGTTTCCTACTAAAGACAAGTAGACAAAAGGGCCTTCCTAGAGAGGAGAAAATGAAGACATGCTCTAATACAGCATCACAACCACAGGATGGCACCGTAGACACATGGCATTGCCTGGCTCCATCCCCCACCCTTCTCCATGGCTCACATCCTGGCCAGAGCCTGGAAACATCCACACAACCTTGTGGGATGCGATCCTGGGGCCTGGTTACCCGGACCTTGGAAATGGGTATGTCTCACCCTAATGTACAATTAATGTTGCTTTTCAGTGACTGGCATTGTAAAAGCAGAGATGTGTTCTTTTGCGGAAAAAGTGAAATTTTTGCATAAGAGTTTATTGTATTAAATAGAGTAAGCTCTAGATTATTCCAGGGATCTTAAGTCTTTGAGTAGAACCTCACAGAAGTTCACTTTTTTTACCTCAAAAAAATCTAAGATCTTAAAGAGAAAGGCAATCGAGTTTATACCAGCATTGAGCAATCCTCCCCCCTCTCCTATATATGGGCAAGTTTAGGAAGATTTAAAACAGTTACAGTCTACATTTAACATTCAGGTAATAAAATATCTGCAATTACACTTAGTATTTTCCCATCACTGAAGTGCTTCTTTGCCTAAGATTTCTAAAACAAAACAGCTAGAAGCCACTGGGATATCTAATGGTCATGGTGCTCCTTTGAACACATTTTGCTGCTGGTCAATAGAACTTTTTCCTCATTCCTTTTAAACAAAACAATCATTTGTATGACATTAAAACTGGGTCCTGCCTCCCCAGAGGTCACCACTCTCAATCACGTCTCTTTGCAATTCCCGCAGTGATTTCATAATATACTTACACTATTTCCTTCGACTGCTAGTGGGAAAAGCTATTGTTTCATAGATACTCCTTCCCCTCCCGTTTCCAGTCCTTCGAGTTCCTGATGTATTATTTTATTACTTACCCAAATTTGTAACTTAAAACCTGAAAACCTCAGCTCACTCACTCATCAGTGTCGTGCAGTCTCTGGGCTTCTTAACCACGTAAGAGTATGACAGCCTCTACCAGGTTCCCCGCACCGTTTCCAACTCTCAATTTCTGTCCAGTTTGCTTGTGCATTGTTAAGACTGATTACATGTCCTTTCTTGTTCTCTAAACATATTTGTCTTCCCTGTTTTATCTGTAACTGGATTCTACAAGCTGAAAAGCCAATTAACAGTACAATGTTGTGATTATGGAAACAGCGTTCACTGTAATAGGCCACAATTTCTTTCCTTAGGGATCCCGCATCCTGACTCCTGTGTCATTTAAGGATAATGCTGCAAATGAAAAATCTTTTTTTTTTTTTTTCCTGAGATAGTCTCACTCTGAAGCACAGGCTGGAGTGCGGTGGTGCGATCTCTGCTCACTGCAACCTCCACCTCCTGAGTTCAAGCAACTCTCCTACCTCAGCCTCCTGAGTAGCTGAGATTACAGGTGCCCGCAATCACGCCTGGCTAATTTTTGTGTTTTTAGTAGAGATGCGGTTTCCCCATGTTGGCCAGGCTGGTCTCGAACTCCTGACCTCAGGTGATCTGCCCTCCTCGGTTTCCCAAATTGCTGGGATTACAGGCGTGAGCCACCGCGCCTAGCCCAAAATATCCTTTCTTCATGTATTTCTCAAAATCATGCTACATTTTAGTTTGCTTCATATTTGGGCCATGACTTTCTTATGTTTATTCTACAGTTTATAATTACTTTTTTTTTTCTGATTGAGACCTTTCTCCCCATCTCATGAAATCTTCTAGCTTTTTACTGATTTTAATCTCTGAACGGAGGCTTTGAGGTTGGTTTATTTTGTCTTGTTTTGGCACTCTTTGCAAGTTGCTTAATTGGTAAATGTGGTTTATCTGAGTATATGTAAAAGTCATATTCTTTTTTTTTTTTTTTTTTTTTTGAGACAGAATCTCGCTCTGTTGCCCAGGGTAGAGTGCAGTGGTGTGATCTTGGACTTGGTTCACTGCAACCTCCACCTCCTGGGTTCAAGCGATTCCAGTGCCTCAGTCTCTCAAGTAGCTGGGACCACAGGCATGTGACACCACACTCAGCTAATTTTTGTCATTTTTAGTAGAGATGGGATTTCACCATGTTGGCCAGGCTGGTTTCAAACTCATGGCCTCAAGTGATTTGCCTGCCTTGGCCCCCCAAAGTGCTGGGATTACAGGTGTGAGTCACCGTGCCAGGCTCCAAAAATCATATCCTTTAAAGGACATTTAAAAAAATCATATGAGACAAATAGCTGTGTTTATAAACAAGTAAGTACTCCCCAGTCCACTTACTTTGCAACACTTTATTTTTACCAGCCAATTTTTTATTTTTAGCAGAACCATAGGGTGAAGTCCATATCGCTTCCTTGCTTTGGCTTGAGAACTTTCTAGACAAAGCACATCCACTGGGCTGGCCAGTGAGGCAATGGGGCTGGGCTGAATTTGACCCTCTCTAGGCCTCAGGCCATCTATCTGTAAGATGAAGGACTTCCTTCCTATAGATTGTGAATCTCATCCTAAAACTAAATGCAACCTCCACTGGCAACCTCTTCTACTAGACTCATTAGTAAGACGTGGAGTCTGACACTAGATTGCAGACCTTTCCCCAGAAGCAACTCTGGGTAAGAGCAAGATGGGGAACTGGAAATCAGTAACATGCAGGAACCTATGAGTCTATAACAAATCCGTTTCCTTTTACGTCTACCTGTTGAAGTTCTACTCATTTTTCAAATCCCAGCCCCAACTCCCTTCTTCAAGAAACCTTCTTTGACCTCCTAATGAGAATTAATGTCTCACTCTCCTGAAACTCCCATGTGACTAAGTTTGTTTCTGTAACCAGCAGCTATCCGCTCGCTATGAATCCCCAGCTCCCATTGGATCACACATCATTGGGATCTGGAGTACTGTCATTTCTATCTTAGAATCCCCAAGAAACTTGGCATTTGTGTTCAGTGTTTGCTAACCTTGAATTAAGTTCATACAACAAATTACTTATAAAGGATGCCCTGATGAGGCTTTTAGAATACCCTATTTTTTACTGTATTAATGTCCTAAATGTAAAGATAGCATAATACAAATCAAGTGTAACGAATATTCATGCCTTCAAATGCTGATCAGATGTTGCCTCCTCCAGGAAGCAAGATTGTACTATTCTCCTGCTGGGAGGTCGGTGCCCTCCTACACAGAAACCTGCTCACTTGTCTCTTCCCAAAACTGCCAGTTCTCTGAGTGCCAATTCTTTGTCTTGTATCTCTATATTCCAAATGGCTAACACACAGTACATGCTAATAAGCGTTTCCTAAAAGAAATAAAAAGGAGAATAGAAAACAAGACAGTTAAAAATAGTAATCTGATTAGAAAATGGGTAAAAGAAATGAATAGATATCTCACTGGAAAGTACATAAAGATGGCAAATAAGCACATGGAAAGATGTTCAACCTCGTTAGCCACCAAGGAAACACACCTTCAAACCACAGGGAGGTATCACTGCATAAACTATCAGAATGGCGAAAATAAGGCTGGGTGCGGTGGTCCACACCTGTAATCCCAGCACTTTCGGAGGCCTAGGCGGGCGAATCATGAGGTCAGGAGTTCGAGACCAGCCTGGCCAACACGGTGAAACCCCACCTCTGCTAATAATACAAAAAAATTAGCTGGGTGTGGTGGTGTGTGCCTGTAGTCCCAGCTACTTAGGAGGCTGAGGCAGGAGAACTGCTTGAACCGGGAGGCGGAGGTTGCAGTGAGCTGTGATTGTGCCAATGCACTCCAGCCTTTGCGACAGAGTAAAACTGTGTCCAAAAAAGAAAGGGAAAGGGAAAAGGAAAGGGAAAGGGAGGAAGGGAGGAAAGAAGGGAGGGAGGGAAGAAGGAAGGAAGGGAAGGAAGGAAGGGAAGGAAGGAAAGGAAGGAAAGGAAAGGAAGGGAGGAAAGGAAGGGAGAAAAGGAAGGAAGGGAAGGAAGGAAGGCAAAAATAAAAAATAGTGGCAACATCAAATAGTGTAGAAAAACGGAAACAAACACACATTTCTGAAGAGATAGAAGTGGTACAGTCACTAAAAAAAACTAGAGTTTGGCAGTTTCTTCTAAAACTAAATATGCAATGACCATATGACCCAGCAATTCCACATTTGGGTATTTCTCCCAGAAAAATAAAAACTTATGTTTATACAAAAACAAGTACACGAATGTTCATAGCAGCTTTATTTGTGGTAACTAAAAACTGATGTTCTTCAAAAAGCCGATCCCAAAAGATTACACAGTGATTACATTCATTTTTATTTCTGTATTTATTTTATGAGACACAGTTTCGCTCTGTTGCTCAGGCAAGAGTGCAGTGGCTTGATCTTGGCTCACTGCAAACTCCACCTCCCATGTTAAGGGATTCTCGTGCCTTAGCCTCCCGAGTAGCTGGGATTACAGGCGTGCACCACCATGCCCTCCTTAATTTTTGTATTTTTAATAGAGATGGGGTTTCAGCATGTTGGCCAGGCTGGTCTCGAACTCCTGACCTCAAGTGATCCACCTGCCTCAGCCTCCCCAAGTGCTGGGATTACAGGCTTGAGCCACCATGCCCGGCTCTATGGTTACATTTATGTAACAATTTTCTGAAATGATAGATTTTAGAAATGGAGGACATTATTAGTGGTTGCCAGGGGTTAGGGGATGGAGGTGTGGGAAGGGGGGATGTGTAATTATAAAAGGAAAACACTAGGGATCCTTGTAGTGCTGGAACTATTCAGTACCTGTACTGTTGTGGTTGATATGCGAATCTACCCAGTTGATAAAATTATATAGAACTTAATACACACACACACACACACACACCTCCACACACAAAAAAACTGAGAAGTCTGAAAAAGATCAGTGGACTGTATCAATGTCCATATGATGGTTATATTATACTATAGTTTTACAAAATGTTTGGTACCAAAATTATCAAAATAGAAAATAACTTCATTTTTAGACAGAGTCTTGCTCCCCAGGCAGGAGTGCAGTGGTATGACCTTGGCTCACTGCAACCTCCGCCTACTGGGTTCAA